CGCAGTATTATATGTACATATCTTCTTTTAAAGCACGAAAATGATCTTCCTTTTGTTTTCATATAGAATTTTTCAAAGCATGATCTTTTCATTTTTCGAAATGGTTCGGAAAAATTCAAAAGATATGTTACTTTTACGTTATCCTAGTTTAGTATATATTTTTTCAGAAAAAGTCCTTATATAACTTTGTTCCGATTTAAATAAAACATGAAGAACGTATCTAATCAAATAAAATATTTGGATATAACGACACATAGGATATTTGAACGTATGAAAATGAAAAAACTACAAAATGTTGATTTTGTTTCAATTTGTTTTTTTTTTTCGAGAAATAAATTTTTAAAACAGGAATCGTGTCTTAAACAACTCTTTTTTTATCATAAAAACTTCAGATAACATCTATGTTAATAATGAATAAAATCTGTCTATTTAATAAATAACTCAAACCATGTTTTGCTTGAATATTAAAAATGATAGATTATAAAATATAAAAATAAAGTACGTAAGTTCAATCGAAAAAAATATAATGTCAGTCTATTGGCTAGTATTACAAGTGAATTGGAAAGTACAGAGACCTTATCAATAGATCATTAAATAAGTACAACTTAAATAGAAAAGTGAATGAAATTCTTCGAAATAGCTCTCAGTATATTTGTCTTCCTATTTATATATATATATATTTAATTACGATAGCCTTTTATTATTCTAATATTACTACATAGTATTTAAAAAAATCTGCTATAACTAGCAAAGCAAATATATGTTCACCCATGATAAGATATTTTCTTTTATATAATATTGTTTTTCTACACGTCATCGTCACTTTCCTCGTGATATTTTATATATCCATATGTGAGAGATCGAATACGTCGTTGGTATTCTATTAGATCAATTTGTTTACTGTTTAATAATTCTTTTGCTTCAATTAAATGACTGCCGCGATCGCGATAACGTTTTTGTTGATTTTTTGCGGCACGTTTTTTTTTTTCATTTCTTGAGATACTGATATCATTGTTTGTTCATCTAACTTCTTTTGTAATAAGATATATTCCCAAATGTTTGGATGTGGTACATTTCGTCTAGTGCAGGAAAATATTTCATTATTAATAATAAAATTGAAAATATACAAATATCGGGTGTGCCAAAAGTTGTGACATTTAGTGTTATTCATATATATCAGATCAGTAAAAAATAAAATCTTGAATTTAGTTTTGGAAGATGTGCAATTCAATTTTTGTACAAAATGTATTTATTTTAATTTAAAATAATAGAACTGAAAGTTTGTATGGGTCGAACAGTGTGCTTATATGAATTGATTTTATGTCACCAATTGTTTTGTAAGTTATTTTTTTCTGTTGGAAGGAATATTTTGCTTTTATAAGTAACAGTCTGCCACGTAGCACTTGAAAGCTTCGGTCGACTGTTAATATATTTAACATTAATTCTTAAAATTTTTTTGCAAAACAGTAGTTCGACAATCATAAAATCCTCTCTATTGATTATTTCTTTTCGGAAAAAATCTCTAAGAATGTGATCTACAGTGAAACCGAGTTCACTTTTGCAGTGTTTTGTAGAAAACGGACTAGTATTTCTACATGAAGCTCAAAAAACATTTGACGAAACCATTCAGCTCCAAGAGAAGTTTAAACGTCGCCCAAAATATTGTTTTTACAGCTGAAAATGAAACAGATCACTTTGATTAGACCCAAAACAAATTATAATCGAACGCTCACAAATTATTCTGAGAGATTATTGAAATGTGATCGTATTGCTAATAATTTCGTTTTCAAGCACCTGTTTATAACAGAAGAAAATTAGAAAAGTATAGTAAAAATGGGCGTAAGACGTAGAATCAATTCATATAAGCACACTATTCGAACCATTCAAACTTTCAGTTCTATTATTTTATATTGAGATAAATAAACTTTTGTAGAGAATTGAATTGGAGATCTGCCAAAACTAAATTCAAGATTTTGTCTTTTACTGAACTTAGGTTTACGAGAAACGCCAAATGGCGCATAACTTTTGGGCACACTCGGTGGTGAGAGTATTGATTGTAAAAAAAGTTCAGTTAATGCAATAATTCACAATAAAACTTACGCATATATTGAACGATGATAACCTTCAATAGCATTATTTATTCTATCTGTAAATCCAATTGAAGAAAAATGATTTCACTGTGTTGGTGGAAATTTGGTTCCATACAAATATGTTTTTGACAAATATTGGAGCAACATTTTAATATCTATTATCTTCAAAAGTAATTCTGAAGCAATTTTTTCATAAATAGTAAAAACATATTCTATAGGCATGAGTGACAGTCCAAATAAATTAGCTAATTCTCTTTTGGTATCTTCATCTTGAAATGATGAAGTAAAACCTAAAAAGGCAATATGTCAAATAATGAACCTCACGCACCAAACAATATGATACTAATGTGATAAATCTGAGCATTAGCGGCAAATTTCAATTATTTTCCGCAAGTTCATTTTGTATGTTATTACCATTCAGTTCTTCACTCCTAAGATCCGTCTAGTTATCAAAAAGCAATCGTATTGCCATTTAATTAAAAACATTTTTCATTCGATAAAGCTATATTTATTAATTACAAATTTCATCTTTTTATGAAACACGAAATGTAAGGCAAATTGAAATATATAAGGTAGAAATTCAGTCTGACATTTCTACGTCCCTTCTCTCTCCTTCCAAAAGCGTGGCAAAACCCTGAGATCCTGTCTCAGACTATCAAATAATAAAGAGTTCTAATTAAACCGTGCTAAAAATGTGTTTGTAATACATAAGACGGATCCGAGGAGTGGAAAATTCAATTGTCCTCGCATCAAAAATAAATCTGTATAAAATAATTATTGTTCAATGATAATATCCAGGTTAACAAAATTAAAGTCAAGTTTTTGGTACATCACATCCGTATTTTTAGCAAATCTCCTACATAAAAATAACTTTAGCCAGATCTGAAAAAAATTGAAAAAGAACAAAGTTTTAAGAATTAAAAGTCTCAACCTAATTTTTGAATTTTACACCAAATTGATCGACAATAATGGAAATGGTAATAAAGCACTGAGCTTTGTTTAAAAGTAGATACGAAAGCATTTGATGCCGCTTGCTCGAAATCAAGCATTATATTGATAGGTTGCAGTTTAATATCATTCTTTTTGCATAATCAAATAAACCTTGAAAAAGCAATTCATATTGTTCTTGTTTATGACCGGACATTGCGATGTGAACAAATGGATGTATTCCCCATTCAGTACGGCCATGAATTGAATATGATTGAACAAATTTTTGTGGTGCACTTCGAAAAGTTCTATCAGCAAGCCAATAAAAGCATTTACCTTTTCAATATTAAATATATTTAAAGACATTATATTAAGCAATAGAATAAAAAGTATGTGTAAGATAACCTGAAGGATTTCTATTTTTATTTGTGAATTATTCTTTTCTTTTTTTTCTTTGTTTTGCTAAATACTCTAATCTTGACACAATGCATTTAATTAGATCATTTTCTAATTATTTGTTTCCTCATTTGATAAAAAATAAAATTATCAACCTTTTTTCTGACTAAAATTTTTTAAAATGTTTCTCTGTTTCCTTCTATACCTCGCTATTTTCCCTGAATATTGATCTCATATTAATCAAATATCCGAGAAAAAAAATTAGATGCTGTATTACTTTCATTAAAAAAAACCTTATTACTGGAATGTATACGTGAAGAACAATAGTTGAAATAGGGATTTAAGAAAATTCTTATAATTTGATTAGTTAAATTTGTTTTGGTACAAATGAGATCATTTAATTGAAAGGAAGTAATTGTTGTTGGTTACATATATTAGCATTAATAATCAAATCAAGAGTTTCATGATCTGAAAGACGTATATCTTTAAATTATTTTTCAGTTTATGATATAATATTATTCTTTTTTTTCTCCAATACACTTACAATTTTTAATTGTAATTTAAGAAGAAATAAAATTAAAAAAAACAGGCAAAAAATAAAAATCTTTAAAAAAAACTAAAAAATCATAATAATAGTAGGCGATACATACTAAGTGTAATTAATGCTTCTAGAGAACATAATATAATAAGAGGATTTGGTACTGCATTATCAAATATAACAAAAGGATTACCATTCTCAAAAAATTTCAAATTGTCAGGTATGACAATATCTTCTAATGTTTTTGGAATTGGTGGAAGAACGGATGATCTACGACGACAAGCCGTTGATCTTATGTAGTTGAATATTGGTACCTCTTCAGTTGTTCCTTTTTTTCTTTTCTAATAAAAGAAGCAGTATATAGCAAAGAGAACCAGAAATATGTTTAAATAAAAACAAACATATTGTACTAAATTTTGTTGATAAATTCCAGTTACTGGTGTTAATAAATCGTTTTTTGTTTCTGTATACATATTTTGAAATAAATTTCTAACCTCGAATGTTTGTTGAAGCTCGCCATGTAGATGCTTTTGTGGCTATCGTTTAATGATGCCATTAAGCAAAACAATCGATACACCACAAGATTTATTACAACAAACAGATATATTCGAGCCGTCTTTATTTGAACATCGTTTTCTGTACTTTTGACTTTTGTTTATAAATGCTTTTGCACCTCGATTACTTTGTGTCCATTCTAAGTCTGATTTCATATGATTATAACAATTAGATGATAATGTTCAAGCTCAGAAAAAAGCTCACGGTATTCATAGAAGCACTTATGTCTAGTGAACTCTATAAATTGCAGTTTATTAGTAAGAAAAAAGAAAAGCACTAGTTTAGCGCACTCTACATATTACAGCTCATTTAGTGAAAATAATGAAAACCGTTATTTAGCGAACTCTATAAATAAAAGATAGTTATTAGTAATACTTTAACAGTTTTATTGAAATTGCTTCCAGTATATTTTTTAGTAATTTAAAAACGAAAATTATAAATTTTCGATATATTTCTCAAAAACCATTTTTGGCAAAAAGTAAACTTTTTTTAGAATTAATGTAAGTAAAGTTTTAAAAATTTAGAAAACAAAAATTTGAAACTTAAAATTATTTTCAATTTGAATCGTTTCAATTTAAAAACATTAAATTTCAATTTAAAAGTTTTTAAATCTCGATTTTATGTTCGCAAATGAGAAGACATGGATGCAAAATGTAAAAACTTTGGCGAATTTATTCGACAATATAATAATGCGAAAGCTTTCGCATCGATGGGCGCTAAGATTGAGGACATTCCGGGAAACGGTTCATATTATTCTAAAATATCCGGTGAAGCATACCAGCGTACTTCAGAAAATATCCAAATCGATAATACTTTACAGCCAAATTCCGTTCAAAAACTTATTTGTCAGCCATCTTATGCTGAATTATATGTTTACCATGCGGACACTTCTATTGAGATTTGAATGGTAGACCCCGCGAATGCTCAATGTTTTCGTGATAATATGATCACCATAAATGCAGTTTTAAATGATGTATCTCCTGATACCAGTTGCTACCGTAAACTTCGGGAAATTTATGAAAAAGAGCTATCTAATCCGAGAATTATCGGTTCTTCTATGAGCAGGATATCTTTGATTTTCACTCAGAATCTTTATGACGACCAAAAGGTCTATAATGCATCTCGGACTTCAGATGATATTGCTATATTGTATATGTAGCTGGCCGTGATGGTAATGCTCCGGTTGAACTTGATTTTGCAGTTCAGCCAAGTAATTCAAATACTCTGAAAAGGATTAATATGCTCTCTAAGCATCTCGATCCTATGAGTTTTCCACTTTTTTTCTCAAATGGTGATTTTGGGTTGACCACAAATTTGTCACATAATGTGGATCATAGCACTAATACACGAAATAAGGTAACGATACTTGAATTTTACTCAAACAAAATTGAAAATTCGTCGAAATCATTTTAAACTTTGTTTCATGGCGGCAAATTATTTCAACAGTATTTAGTTTATGCGTATGCCCATTATGAAGCAAATCGATTGACGTATATCGAAAATAATCAAAAGACTTTACGTATGGAATCGTATAAAGGCTTATTAGATCATGTTAATAGCATCGGTCGAGATAATAACGCCCGTGTTGGTAATATATTTATTCTTCTTTCTACATTTGTAGGTGGTCCCCGTTTTATGTCAAAATTATATCAGAACAATATGGCGATGGTTTGGAAATTTGGCCGTCCTGATTTATTAATTACTTTTATATGTAATCCTAAATGGGAAGAAATAAAATCCCAACTTAAACCTTTTCAGAATTCATCTGATAGACCAGATTTAATAACTGGAGTATTTCGTTTAAAATTAAGAGTATTTTTAAATGACATAGTTCAAAGAAAAATTTTCGGAGAAATTTTGGCATACATATACGTTGTAGAGCATCAAAAATGCGGTCTTTCTCATAGCCATTGTTTATTTACACTCTCCAACGAAGATAAAATTAAAACAGCAGACAACGTTGATAATATTATCTCTGCTGAGTTACCGGATCGATATGTACAATCCGAGTTGTATAGCGTAATTTTACGGCAAAATATTCATGGACCATGTGGTCGATTAAACCCTAAATCAATTTGTATGGTTGAAGGATCTTGCTCCAAAAATTTTCCCAAAGCCTTCTGCAATGAAACTGATGTATCTACAGATGGATATCCAATATATAGACGCCGAAATAATTCAAATGAAACTCATTTTAAACGTAATAATATTCAAGTAGATAATCGTTTTGTTGTACCATATAATTCATTGTTAAGTCTTAAATATAATGCTCATATTAATGTTGAACTATGTTCAACTGGTAAAGCTTCCAAATACATTAACAAATATATTACAAAGGGTTACGATTGTGCTCGAATCGGCGTCCAAGTAAATTCAAACAACAATGTAGAAAAAATTGTTGATTATGATGAAATCAAACAATATTTAAATTGTCGCTATATTAGTTCTCAAGAAGCAGCTTGGCATCTTCAAAATTTTCCTATTCACTGTCAATCTCAAAATGTCGTCATGTTGTCTATTCATTTGAAAGATGGCCAATCCATCTTTTTCGAAGAGAATCAAGCTAAAACTGCTTTCCGACAAGAGTCAGCCGCATGCACAACTTTAACTGCCTATTTGGATTTAAATGTTTCAGATTCGAGTGCTCAGTAATATTTATACCAAGATATTCTTAATCATTATCCCATGTTGCAAAAACTGGATCCGTTTTAGCGGTAAACCACGGTATTTATCAAAACCGGCGGTTTGGGTTGGCTAACCGCCGATTTTAAATGACACCGCGGTTCGTTAGAAATTCCACCGATCAGCCGCGATTTACCGCTAGTTTTTCCGACGAAGAAAAGACGACGAGTGTGTATAGAACGAAAAAAAAACATGTATCCATATATGTGCTCGCCGATCTTTCACTCATTTTGCTGGTTTGTGTGATTAGATAAAATAATGAAGAAAAGAATAAGAGAATAAGAGGCGCAGTATAGATTTAATTATTTTTATACATAGTTTTTTCATAAATATTTCGTTTTTAAAAGATTAAGTTTTTAGTATTTATTTCTTTTATATTAATATTTTAATATTGACTTCTCTTTTAGATTAATTTTTTTATTTAATTTTCAGATTATTTTTTAAATTCAATTTGTAAGTTTTTTTCACATAAAAAGTAAGAATT